CCCCAAAACCCCAAAACCCCAAAACCCCAAAACCCCAAAACCCCTTTATAGATATCAAAAATTGAGTGTCGAAAAGTTAGAAAATGATTATTTTTCAGGAGCATCATCTACCTCAGTTGTGTCTAAACTCCACAGGATGATGTTCTGGCAAGCTGAAACAACTCAGAAGTACTCTGGGTTTCATCTGATAGCGTTTATTTCCTTTACATGGGTACCTGAAAGTGTAGTCTCTTCATTGTCTACCCAGTTCCAAAAGGCTACTCTATTGTTCATCCCAAACACGATGTGTTTGCTGCATGGACTAAAGTCTGCGACAACTGGAGTTGGGGTGGATTGTCTTGAGGGTTCTATTAGCTTGTTAATGATGCCTCCATCAAAAGCATCTACTATGAAGACGCTGTGAATTTCATCAATACAAAGAAGGTATTTGCCATTGTAGCTGAACTTCATGAATTTTATGACGAAGTTATTTGGATGGTGGTTGATTGATAGGGTCGAGAAAGGGTACTCATACTCATCTTCTTCTATATTGTACAAATAGATATGTCTCTCCTCTCCCACTGGAGGATTATGTGATCAAGCCAGTACTTTTCCTGTATTGTCAATGCAGGTAGCTTTGCATTCTCTAAAAACCGCAATGAGGTCTGTTGAATTGTAGTCCCATACTCTAGCTTCCTCATTAGTAGTTGAAGTCACAAATTTAGAGTCTAAAGGACTTGTGTCTATTGAGAGGATCCTTGTGTTCTCACCTAAAAATTTGGCCAGCACTACATTATCATGCAAAGACAGATAGATGATAGAGTAAGCCTCCTTCTCGTATGTTGAAAGCAGAACTGTCTTGGAATGATTGGTAAACTTGATGTTCCCTAGCTCTTTAGAGTCTTCAATGAGATACGAGTTTATCTTATCGCCTTGTTGCAAATCATACAGATGTATTTTGCCGTCAGTACTACAAGACACCAGATAATTCCCTCATCGGCTTATGTCAAGTGAATTCACCTCTTCTTTATGGTCTTTGAACACCTTGGAACTCTTAAACTTCTTAAGAACTGTCTTGTTGATTGTGAAAGTATTCTCCATTGTGGAAAAAGCTGTTTAATTTTATAAAAATGTAATTTTTAATGAAAAAACTCTTCAGTAAAATTCAACTCATTGACTAAATTATGGGGTTTTGGGGTTTTGGGGTTTTGGGGTTTTGGGGTTTTGGGG